TTATATAATATATAATTTATAGTCCATCTAAGCTTGATCCCAATTTGTCTCTGATGAACTGTATGGTTTTAGGCTTTACTCCCAGGTCTCTAATCCACCTTAAGTTTTGTATATGGTATGAGATGTGGATCCTGTTTCAGCTTTCTGCAGGTAGCAGTCCAGTTTTGCAAGCACCATTTGTTGAAGAGGTTGTCATTTCCCCATTTGATAGGCTTTATTTCCCTGTCAAACATCAGTTGACCATAGAAAGCTGAGTCCATTTCTGGATTCTCAATTCTGTTCCATTGATCTATGTGCCTGTCATTGTACCAATACCATGCTGTTTTGGTTACTACTACTGTGGAGTAGTTTTTGAGGTCAGGGAGTGCTATGCCTCCCACTTCATTCTTGTTTTTTCAGAAGTGCTTTGATTATTCAGGGTCTCTTTCCCCTCTAAATCAATCTGACGATTTCCCTCTTGATCTCCTTGAAAAAATGAATTTGGTATCTGTATTGGGATTGCCTTGAACATGTAGATTGCTTTTGGTAAGATTGTAATTTTCACAATATTGACTCCTCCTATCAATGAACAGGGCACATTTTCCCATTTCTTTAGGTCTTTTATTGTGTCTTCAGCATTGCATCTTGAGGCTTGAATTTGTTTTTCAGTTATTTCAGCTTGAAAAATGTTGAGTGAGCTCTTCCCTTTTTACTCTCTAATTCTCTATCTCTGCACAATCCATTATAATAGTTTGCTTTGTCTTCTTGAGCTGCCCTTTGAAGTCTTTACCTTCTCTTCCCTTTATTTTGGCTTCTTGATTCTCTGGTGCACTTTTCAGAGCTCTTCTAACATCTATTTTGGTTTTTTCTTTTTTCTCTGTCCTTTGTTACCTTTTACTCTCTTCATGTATGATTTCCTTTATGTCATATTATAACTTTCGTCTTTGATCACTGGTGTTGACTGTCTCAAACCTATTCTTAAGATGATTTTTCAATTCAGGGGAGAGAGACTCAAAGGTATATTTTGGTTCTTATTGAGTTGTTTTCATTTTTTTCAGCTTCAATTTTAACTTGTGCATGAGTAATTGATGATTTATTCCACAATCAGTACCTGGCCTGATTTTGACCACTGATACTGAGCTATTCCAATTATTCCTTCCACAGATACAGTCAGTCTGATTCTTATGCAGTCCATCAAGTAAAGTCCATGTGTAAAGTCACTGTTTGTGGGGTCTTTTTATTTAAAAAAAAGATATTTGCAATGAATAAATCATTGAACATACAAAATTCAACCATTCTATTTCAGCCTCATTTCTGTCACCATATCTGTATTTTCTGACTACCATTCCTTCTTCATTGTTTCCAACTTTTGGATTCCAGTCATGAGTTATCATTAATCTATTTTGATTGCACATTTAGTAAATTTGTTGAAACTCTTACATTTCCTTCTCTTTAGCTTTAGTTACAAGTGCATCTAATGAATAATAATCATATTAACAGGTCTTCCTTGTATATGTATAGCTATCCTATTACAACACTGTACTTCAGAATAGAACTTGAAATTGTCTTTTTAACTATGGATGCAACACCATTATTCTTCTCTTTTTCACTCCCAGCATAGTACCATAAGTCCACCTTATCTCATCAATGCCTAGAATGTCAATGTTCATGAGCTCAGTTTCATTTTTCACTTCCAGTTTTCCAACATTCATGCTTTGTACATTCCATGTTCCAACTATTAAGAATCTCTGCAGCTGTTTCTCATTCTTTTTACTTACTTCCAATCTGAACTCAAGGAAGAGAAGGTAAAACCAGCATAGCCTTTAGAGATCATGGGTATCTTGAATGATACAGGAGTTTCATCCTAAAGGTGTAGGGCATAGACCCAGCAGGACTCTTCTGGTTTATAATACATCTTTCCTATCTAGAGTCTACATAACCACATGCCATTCTATCACCCTGGACAGCTTATAAGCATATGTTGTGTCTCATTTGAATTATTTACATGTTGTTTTTGTTAGGTGCCATCGGGTCTCCTCTACCTGATAGTGACCATATAAACAACAGAAAGAAACCATGCATATTCCTGCACCATCCTTGCCAACTCTGCTGTGTTTAAGCCCCCTGTTCCATTGACTGTGTCAATCTATCAGTATAATAGCCTTATTTTTCAAGAAAGAACTAAAGTTCAGGGAAACTGAAGCTCAATATCACACAGCATTTTAGTGCTGAAATTCGAATGAAAAATTGAGGGTTTTTTTCAATCATACAATCAAGAATCATGAGTAACAGTTACTGGCAAGGATTTGCTATATGAGGAGCTTGAAAGAAGAGTCTTGCTTTCAAGGCATACAACACCATAAAGGGATACACGAAAAGTTGTAGAATCATAAGGGGCAGCAAGGAGAAGGAGGAAAGGGATATGGAGCTTATCTCTAAAGTATAAACACCTCTGCTTCGGCCAAAACATAGACCTGGGAAACTCCATGGTTTACTCAGGAAGGAGTGAAGAAACAACCTCCCTGACCCCTGCAGAAGGTGGATGCAATTAAACTGGAGGAATGAGATAAGAAATTCAACCCTCAAAAATACATGTGTCAAAAAAAAAATACATGTGTCTATGAGACAGTTATAGGACACTGGCCTCCCCATTCATCCAGAAGGGATGGCTAAAAGGAGCTATGGAATATCTTCTAGTGACAGCAGTTCATTTTTGGATGCTCTTGATATTTCTTATGCTTGATATTCAAATACTCTTTCTATGATAATTCTTTCATAACCAACAAGATTATTGTGTCTTAGGGACACAGGTTCTCTGCTATGGATATCTGACCCTATCATTTCTCAAGAAGACAGTGAGACCAGCTCAGAAAAGCAAAGCAGTCTATGGGAGGGGGCAGGGGAAAGCATCCACATCCCACTCTGGCTATAAAGCTATTCAATGTCTGACAGTGCTTCTGCCATGGCAGGGTGTGATTTTTCCTTCTCGTGTGGCATCATTCTCAGTATCATTCCTCCTTAAAAAACATGAACACCAGAAATTAATCACTTGAGTTCACGACCAAGTTTAAATACTGTGTCCAATCACTCTATTGTCATATTTTTGTAGTTTCTCTTAAAAAATGAGAGACTGTGATTCCCTAATGACAGGAAAAGAAATCGGGCTTACACAGCATATGAATCTGAAATGGTCAACTTTTATGACCAGAAAATTAGGTAAGTATCATCTATTGTCTACCTTCTAGAGTATATTACCCCTAATTCAAGGCAAAGGAGGCACGCTTGGGTCAGTGGCATCCTTTTCCATTTCATTTTCTTACTGCCTCAATCTGGACTCTTAAAACACACCGAGCACAGACTCAATATACACTGAATGAATTGAATCTGAAGCACTATGGGCATTATTCAAGCACCTGGAGTCATAACCTAGAAGAGGCCTCCTTTCAACAGTAAAAAAAAATGCTTTAGAAGCAGGTCAGACAGGAAGTTCAGTCCATTATCTCCTCTGAGTTCACCCTGGGGAGAACAGAGAGGAGACTAGAGGACTGGAATGCATGGCATGCTCCCCTAAACTTTGTCAGTAGAACTACAGTGATGATGGGACCAGCTTATAGACCTGAAGTCCAATTCTCTTAAAACACAGAAGGTGAAACTGAATTCCAGAGGTGGGGGTGACCTTCTCCAAGTCATACATGTAGGTTGCTTGACTCCCCCCAAAATCAATGTAGTCCAGATGGCAAAACAAAGGGAATAATGGATGAAGCAAACCAGACAACAGTTAAGGAGTATATTTTGCTTGGGTTATCTGAGCACCACAACCTGGAGATGGTCCTGTTTGTGCTTTGCCTGGGTGTCTACTCTGTGAATGTGCTGGGGAACTCCCTCCTCATAGGACTGAACATGCTGGATCCCCATCTGCACAGCCCTATGTACTTCTTCCTCAGCAACCTCTCTGTCATGGACATCCTTGGCACATCCTCCTTTGTGCCATTCATGTTGGTCAACTTCCTAGAAGTCCAGAGGACCATCTCCTTTCCAGGCTGTGCTCTACAGATGTACCTGACACTGGCATTGGGAACCACAGAGTGCCTGCTCCTGGCCGTCATGGCCTATGACCGTTACGTGGCTATTTGCCAGCCACTAAGGTATTCAGAGCTCATGAGTCGGCCAACATGTGTGCAAATGGCAGTGATGAGTTGGGGAACAGGCTTCAGTAATTCACTGCTTCAGTCCATTCTGGCCTGGCGCCTCCCCTTCTGTGGCCACAATGTCATCAACCATTTCTTCTGTGAAATCTTGGCAGTGGTGAAACTGGCCTGTGGGGACATATCCCTCAGTGCATTCACCTTAATGGTGGCCACAGTTTTCCTGACACTGACTCCACTCCTGTTCATCTTCCTGTCCTACATTTTCATCCTTGCTGCCATCCTTAGAGTACCTTCTGCTGCAGGCCGCCGCAAAGCTTTCTCCACTTGCTCAGCCCACTTGACAGTAGTGGTGATTTTCTATGGCACCATCTCCTTCATGTACTTTAAGCCCAATGCCAAGGACCCTGACTTGGATAAGATTATTACATTGTTCTATGGGATTGTGACCCCCTCACTGAATCCTATCATCTACAGTCTAAGGAATTCAGAGGTGAAAGCTGCTGCAATAGCCCTCTTTAAGGGAGATCTGCTTTCCAGGAAAATGTCTCACTTTTACTGCTGCACTCCATCCCCATAGTCACTATAGACTGATTTGCTAATGACTTCGTCATTCCAGTGACTTAACTCGGTACTGCCTTATTTCTTGCTCATGCTCTGGGTTCATTAGAGGATGGTTAGTGTTTCTATGGTGCATCATCTTCATCTCTCTGGAAGTCACGATGATAAAACATCTACCATCTTGAATACTGTAGTGCAACATAACCAAAGGGGGAAAATAACAAAAGATGCATTGATTCTAAAGCTGCCACTTCAGTTTTATCCATCAACACAAGTCACCTGACCACATCTAGGAGGAGGCTTATCTTCCATATCTCTGGAAGAAGAGTGGAGATAGAGGTATTTTTTAAGATACTGATGACTACAAATTGTCTCTGCTGTGGGTGCAATCCTTAGAATGTTGTGCTGTTAGCATGTTGTGCTGCTATCCAAGAGGCCTTCCATCTCCAGCAGTTTGAATCCATCAGAAACTCTGCAGGAGAAATATAGGGAGTCTCCTGTTTATATCACAAGTCTCGGAAACTCAGGTAAGGGTCATTAAGAGTCAGAATCAACTCAATTACAGCAATCTGGTTTTGGTTTTGTTTTAATGACTACAGTACACAAGAGCAACTGTTGTGTTTTTGTTAAATATTTGGCTTCCTTTTCCTTGGCTACCCTTTCTTCATACCAAATGAAAGGTTATTCCTCTTGTGCTAGATTTGTCCTATGACAATTTAACCAGGTGAGAACTCTTCCCCAGAGTTTTCTTATTTTCTATGGTTCAGGTTCAGATTTAGAACAAGAGATATTTTTGTGAGACCTGAAACATCAAAGTGTACTAGGAACTACTTTTAAGTTCAGGTCAGTGAATGCTGCCACACATTGTGAGAGCACACACATCTTGTCACGAGACAATGGCTTCCCTTGTCAGGCAGGGGCCAGAGGCTGGGCCATTAGCACCTCGAGCTCCCATGAAATTCCTTCCTTGGTCTAATGAAAATCTCCATCACGTGCAGCTCCATGAGGAAGAGTACCACCTTCTTCCATAAGCCCCTGTACCATAACCATGTCACCGAGACTGCCAGCAGTGAGACGCAGAACCAAAGTCAACTTTGTCATGGGTCCTAGTTTTCTTCACTTTCTCTCACTCTGTACCCAGCTGACCAATGCCATGTCCAACAACAAATAACTGTTTTACAGAATCTTCCCAACCATTCCCCAATTGTATAGTATCCAGTTCCTACAATAAATCTCTTCTTAAAAACTATACACAGTAAGATGTTCATTAGGCTTTGTAATAAATTGGATAAATCAATGATAATTAACACTAGAAAATGAAATTTCTATGAAAGATTGTATGAAAAAACAATGTGATTTGTAAATCATCACTCAAGCAAAATAAATATTTTCAAAATCCCTTATTTCTCCTTCAGCGCTGTCTACAAAGGTTGCAGTCATCTCCTGCTTGCATAATCGCTGCTCTCAGATCCCAGTGAAGCCAAAGATCACAAAAAGAGGACCAAGAAGATCATCAGGCACCAGACTGATATGCCAAAATTAAACATAATCACCACAAGCCCAGAGGCACTGACAACAGAGTTTGGAGAAAATTTAAGGGCCAGATCTTGATGCCCAACATTTGTTATGGGAGCAACATGATGACAAAACACACGTTGCCCGGTGGCTTCTGCTAATTCCTAGTCCATAATGTCAAGGAGCTGGAGGTGCTGCTGATGCACAACACACCTTCCTGTGCTGAGATTGCTCATGTTTCCTCCAAGAACCACAAAGCCATAGTGGAAAGAGCAGCACAGTGGGCCACTAGTCACCAATCCCAATGCCAGACTGTTCTTGTTATTGTTACTGTTATGTGCCGTCGAGTCGCCTGTGACTCATAGCGACCCTATGTACAACAGCCCTAAACTCCGCTCTGTCCTGTGCCAATCGCACTGTCTCTGACACTCCCATCCC